TCTTAAAGATCTTCATTTTATTGTTTCTCATAGGTTGTCTAATACCTTGAGCTTAGATATTCATGAAAATCATAGCCTTGCACTTCTAGGAAAGAAGAAATCGAGTAATTTGACACTACCACCCAAATATAACCAGCCATTCTTTGTTACTTCCTTACCTGATGACAAGTAAGTGAGGTCGTTGCTTATACTTAATGTCCACCTTGCACACTATATTCTATTAATGTTAGTTCATTACCTTAGTAAAATAGTATGTTGTGATTTACCATTTTTACTAAGGTTATTTGTCCCTTTGATTTTTGAAATCTTAGCTATGGAAATTATTTCAGAATGTAATGATTTTGTCCCCTTTTGCCCCACTCCTAATTATCTTTGTGAAATGTTCTCTTTTTCTCTCTCTTTTGAATCTTCTTGTTAGAGTACCTAAAGGGGCAGGACCTGGATGCTACCTTGCAGGATCCTTAACATTGTCAAAGACTGAACTTGGAAAGAAAGCGGTAAGTACTAGTTTTGTTTTGTTTTTTACACTGAAATTACCTATTCTAAAATTTCCCTTTCTTTAAAGATGGGGATTAATTCCACATTTCAGAATGGGTAAAAGAGAAGATCTCCCTGGACAGAATATGTATAGTTTCCACCCCACCCCCAACCCCCGCTCCAAGTTACTAGTAGAGATCAATTAATATTCTGTTGTATTTTAAAATATTTAGTATTCTTGTTCCCAAGTATAAGTTACTCTGGCCCTGAATCTGTCCTACCTTGCATGGCTAATATACTTGAATTTTCCATTAAGTCAAACTTACATCTGATTTAAACTTTGCTTAAATGAACGGGTGGCTTCTAAAAACTAGTCAGAACAATTATTGCTAATTAACGATATTTTTCACACTATACAAACCTTTCTCTTGTTCAAATTTTATATGATTATGTTGATAATTATAAGGTGTTTCTTTTGGCATTGCCTTTTAGAGTTTCAAAATTGGGATTTTTTGTTAAAAACGTTTTTCTGGTTGTTAGAGAAATATTATAGTTCAATAAGTAACTCTTAGCTTTTCTATCTTTTCATTACAAATTTATTATGAGAAAAGTTTATATAGCTCTGTCACCTTTTGTGATATCATTTTAGCTCAGTGTTAGTAAAAGTTGTCATTCTTAAAGTTTTGTATTTCTCTTTAGCGTTAATTAGTTCTTACAAGCTAAGCATACTATCTAATGCTGGAATCTAGAAATGCTGTTATCAAATGAATAGATCTCGTACATATTAACAAGCACACTTATTTCTTGTCACTATTGAGCCAAAGATCATTTATTTGCTGTCTTAGAGGCATAACTTGGGAATTTTGTGCTTAGAAAAAGTTGTTTTCCCTGACATTTCTTGAGTCTCAATTCAGTTTATACTGTGTATTTATATATTCTTTAGTATGATTTGAATTGAATGAGTTGTTAATTGGACTGGAATTCATGGATGCACTGATTTAAGAACTAGTAGTCTTTTCTTGTAGACATCATTTCCTGGGTAGCGTGGCCACTTCCTCCATGGGGCTTCAACAGTGAGGCTTCAGTAATGATGTTCACACCCAGATAACTCTTCTGAAGTGTCCATTTCCTTGTGATGAGTATGACAGAAGAGCATTGTTATTAAATGTATGCTTTTTAGCAATTCAGAGATAGTTACTACTTCCTGGCTGCAGTTGTGAAATTATAAACATCTGGGATTAACTGTAGTTATTACTTATCAGGGTAGATTTTCTTGAGAGGGAGCAAAAAACTAAAACTATAAGTTAATTATATTTCCTAGCACATTATTTATTAATTACTCTTCCCTCAGTAGTTTTGCATTTTTTATGATTTTTGGTAGTTGGGAAGGTTCATTTTACTTCTCTTGGACTTGAATGATGCTTTTTCTATGAGAGCATGGGTGTATGTAATTGTTGTGATGTCCTTAAAAATCAGACTCGGTAGACTATCAGCTAAATTTAATATTTCAAAAGTGTTTTGATAACTAATGGGTTTTTGCTCTACTGAATTTTTGAAATAAGTTGAAAAACATTCACCCTTAAGAATATCACTTCAGTGCATTTTTATTTTTAAAAAATCAAAGTGGCAATGTTGCTTTATTTAAAAGCATGCCATCTTGATCACAGACAAGAGCCTTCTAAGTATGTGACACATACAGGTGGAAAGTAAACGGAGAATATTATACAGAGGTGGTGTCTCCATCCTGTGTAGATGCATGTTTTCTTACAGAATGTTGTTCTAACTCCCAGGGGCAGTCTGCAGCAAAACGACAAAGAAAATTTAAAAAGGTACTGATTGTCAGTTCTTTAAAAAGATGTCTTAAAGCCTTATTTGCATATTAGTTAAACTTTTTTTCTGTCACTATTATAAATCCTTTAAAAACAATCTTTCCCTTAATCTTTAAGTTCTGCAGTATAGTGCCTTTAGCTTATCAGTGTTGACATCCTGCTTTCCTAAAGTCACTTTTCTATCATAAATTGCTAGAGGACCCCTGTTTTATATGTATATAGCAAAAAATAATGCTATTTATGTCTTACTACAGATAAATAATAGTATTTTAAATTTTGCATGTCTAAAATCTTATGTAGAGAGAAATGAAACTTTTCGGCTATATAGGCCAAACAATTATTTTTAAAGTCTAAAAAACATTCTTAAATTGGATGATTTGATTAAAAATATTATTAAGATTTTTCAAGTGAAGTTGATTCCTTGCTCTTGCATCTTCTTAGTTCTTAAAGGGCAGAGACAAACAGAGCAATGGACAAAGCAGGAACAGAAATAAGGACTGTTGACCCAAAATTAAAACTTATGCTAAGAGCATAAGCAGATTTTCAGGCCATAACTAGTAAGTAATCTGATCAACTTTTCTGCAACTTACTTGACAATCTCTGATTGACTACTAGAGCCAAAGTTAACTCAAAAAAGAAAAATTCTACTTCAGGTGTACTTTAGAGAAAGGGATACATATTCAGTGAGCTCGCTGATGAAAACCTGCTGACATCTTTTAGCATTTAGTGATTTTTCCCATTCAAGCTGGAAGCATTGCAGTGGGAGAATTAGTACTTTAAGGTATGAACAAAAGACACCTTTTATTTCTTAATTCAGGGTGATATGAACGGGCTCACCATTTTATAACAGGTTAAATTCCTTTATAAAAAAGACCTCTGAAATGTCCGTATTATTATGTAACAATAAATACTTTGTTCAAACAGAGTACACTACTGGTAATCACCTTTCCAGGTTTAAAGAAAAAAAAAAGTGCTTCTCCATTGACCAGTACTTCTTAACTGAGATTCTTGATTCATTTGTAGCTGTATTATTCATTTAATGAAACATCACCAGCATTAAAATAGAAACAGAATAAAGTAGGAAATGTCAGTTCACCAGACTGATGAAACTAATTTCATGTTATCTATAGATTGTTTATCTTTGGGTCAGTGTGAAAATAGCTTGCCAGCCACTGTTTTAGAGAATGAGGAAATGGTATTCTAGGAGCCCATTAAAAATAGAAGATACATATCACAAAGGCAAAGATTTTTTTCTTCTACCTGTTGTATATTTTGGTTGAGTTTTGGAGGAGTTTTGATGGGATTTTGTTTGGATTAGGATATGAATAGAAAACTATCAAATGAATAGAAAGATTATTATTATTACTTGATGGTTAGTAAAGCTTTATATAAAGAACTTTACAGCTAGAGTTACCTCTTCCCATTTCTCTCTTCAGTGCAAGTATACAGGAAGCTCTGATTTTAAAAATGATTAGTATTATAGTTTCATGGTCACAATACCAAACTATATTACTAACTTATTGCCTGAAAAAAATACCAACTAGGTTTTTCTGTGGACTTTTTCTTTGGGTTTCAGTGACTTTTGACTTAAAATGTGTTACACTTTTTTAAGCTCATTGTAATATGAAAGAATATAGTTACTTTTAACAGATCATAAATAGCATTGAAATATACTAATCTTTAAAATAGCTATATTAGTTTGTGTGAAGGTATTACAATTTTGAAGTTAGTTAATAATTTAAGAACTAAGGAAATTGGTTTTTTACTCCAAATTTTAATGATGGTCTGTTTTATCGACCAAAGAATAGTTAGTTACTGATTATATGGGTATGTTTTACTTTCTCAATAATACTGTTCAGTTCAAACACTGTTGAAATACTTTGTGAGCAGAATAGTAAATAAACCCAAAAACTTACTGTTAAGTATCCACAGTAGAGCACTTTAGCATTTCTGCTCTGAAGATTCTTTTTGACTATGTTTTAAAATCATAATACTTCTCAAGGTTTACTGGTACAGAATCATTTTTATTAAATTGACCCCATGCTAGGTCCTTAGAAGCAAGTTGTGAAAATACTGCCAAAAAGAACAGATGACCGTGATAAAGCAAATGAAAAATAACCTCATTTTTCTTTTGATTAAGAATTAAAACTACCATGTTCATAATTCTTAGTAATAAGCATTCTTGTCCTGATATACTTTATAGGATTATATATTAACATTTATAATTTATAATTTGATATATTTAAAAATATAAAAGGCTGATTACAAAATCTTTATCTCCTCCCCTCCCTTCCCCCCAAATCATTCATCATAAACTTTCCCTGTCTCTTTTGTGCTTTTAGTGATAGTGTATGGTTGTTGTGATAAAGGGTTTCTTCCTATTTGTAGATCTTTGTTAAGTTTATTGTTAATCATAAATTAACTTTAATGGATTGCGCATTTTAAATTGAGTTCTATTTTCTCTCTTCTGTATTAAAACAAATACCTTTCCTCTGAGCTTCAGAGGAGGAATTGGCTCGCAACAGAGGCTGCCCCTCTGGAAGTTTATGTCTCCCTAATCAGGCGAAGAGGAAGGATAATGAAGGGAGCTCACGTTAGGTTAGAGTGACTGTGGACTGCCTCTGCAGAAGCATGACCTCAGAGAGAATAGGAGAGGAATGGTTGGAAGCCATCTATAACTTCAATCCTTAGGTTTGTTGTCTTTGTTATACAGATGACACTGACATCTGTTTGGTGCTAAATAATCAACCCAACTTTTTCAGACACTTTAACTTGGCCTTTCCCAGGGCAGTGCCCACCAAGGAAAATAAACCTCAAGAAGGAGAAAAGGGTGGGGGGCAGGGTCCAGAAGGAGGTAGCCCTAACAAAATACCTGCTTTGTTTTCCCTGCCTCATACTTCACATGCAAGCTCTCGTGGGGTGGGGGGGAGAGAGATAGATGGATGGTTATTTTCCATCATTGGTTTTCTGGGCTTAAAATTAGTCATATTGAAATAGTAATTATTTATGGTGGAATACTATTAGAACAACTATAATAATAGTTCCTTATACTACTATTATAATTATATCCCAAAATAAAGCTTAATTGTGAAACATTTAAAATGGCCACATTTATGTAGTATTTACAGCTAAAAATCCTATTTGGGGGAAGGTGGGGGCTTGCAATACTATTTTTTTAACTCTATCTAAAGCTTTTTCTGGTGACTGTGATTACAGCAGTAAAAGTCTGTTTGGTAATATAACTTTTTTTCATTTTACAAGTTTTAAAAATTAAAACATATAAGAATTTATTTTAATTTAGTGTTATTTTTAATGTGAACCTGTAGACAGAATTTGAGAAATTGACTTAATAAATAATGGGGATAATGAAAATAAGTAAATAATGATTCAATTAAGGACACCTAGTTATTGTGCTAAAAACTGAACTAGTAAATACAAGAAAAGATTTCCCAGATAATACAATACTTTTCATAAGTAGAGACTTATGTGCTTTAATAAAATAGATGGAAATACATGTAATTGGATATAATTACCCCATTTCTCTGCTCTCTACAAAGAAGACCTTTTCAAAAGACCTATCATACTTCTTACTTGATTTCTCTTTATCTTTCTTGGTCAGCCTTTACTGTCCACTGAAACTGGACTTGTCATGGTCATCAGTAGCCACTGGCACCAGGCTTTCCAGTTATTTCATTCTCCTATCCTACATTACCTCTCAGCTATAGTCTTCAGTTGACCTCTCCCTCTTTCTTCACACTGGCTATTCTCAGGGCTGCCATACCTCAGATTATCTCTGTGTCCTGTCTCTGTTTTTCTTTCTTTTATAGCCTGTGTTTTTCATTCAAGGCAGTGTTGTGCCTAGGTTTGCTTACTAACTTGCTTTTCCTTTTTTCTACTTTTGCCCTCTATTGTCCAAAACAAAAACTTTTAATTTATACAGGATTCAGTTATTAAACAAAAAGCAAAATCTTTAATCATTTCATCACCTTGCATAAAACTCGTCTGGTAGACTTCCTCTTGCACTTAGAATAAAGTCTGGATGTTCCTTTTTTTCTCCCACATTTTATCAACCCTATTTAATATGTCACTGCCATTTGCTCAGTACATATAGCTGTGCTCCCCAGATACCAAGCTCTGGTTTTTGCACATGCTCATCTTCTACCTTCAAACACTTTCCCTCTCCTCATTTATTTGAGGTTCTTTTTTTAGGTCATTTAGGTTCAGTTAGATTGGATGATACCTCTTTGTAGTGGTCTTCCATAACCACTTTGTCTACAGTGGTTCCCCCACCTTACCTAGCAGTCTTATTTTCTTCATATCATGTGAAAATCTGATATGTATTTACTTATATGTTTGTTGTCTGTCTTCCCCCACTAGAATATATGCTTCCTGAGGGCAAGAAAGGGCCTTGTCTGCTTTGTTCTTCAACACTCAGAGCATTCACTGGCACCTTAAAGGGCTCCATAAGTCCTGTTAACTGAATGAAGGAATAAATTTTCTTTAAATTTACTTACAGAAAAAGGAGGATCTTTTTTGTTGTGTTCTAACTTATTTTCTCCCCTTCTCAGATAGAAAATGTGCAAGACTCAATATACTTTTGTAATTAATCTATCAAGTAAAACTAAGAATACCAAATACATTCGTATAGAGAAAATTTTATTCTTACCTTCCTTATTTAAAGGAGATAGTAGAAGCGTTGGTACTTTAAAGTTGGGGAGAAAATTACTTTGATCGCAGATTGGAATTTTTTATCTATTATATGATGCATTAGAGCAAGCATGTCAAACCCAAAGGCTAACACAGGCCAGATAAACAAGGAAAGTTTATATGGGCTGCAAGAAAATCCTGATGACATGGCCATCAGCTGCTAAAATATTTGCTGCTGATATTAGTGGAGAGAAATGGTGCGCCTGCATGTAAGGTGCGTGAGGGAAATGAATGCAACATGATGATAGTAATCAGTCATTAGCGAATGTTGTAGTTCGTTTTTAGTAATTATGTGTAACAGGATATTGTAAAAATTAAGTTACAAAATTTTTATTAAAATGTTTCATACATACTGTTTTTTTGGCTGGGCCGCAAAAATATCCACTGTGGGCTGCATGCGGCCCATGGGCCGCAAGTTTGACATGCTTGCATTAGACTCTGGAATACAGTGTGGGACAACTCCATGATATGTAATATTTAGCTATTAAATGTGATTTTAAAATATGTAAAATTGCGCATGCTAATTTAAAACTCTCTCTCCGCACTCATAGGATGTAATCCCTGTTCATTACTATCTTATATCTCCACCAACAAAGACTAAGAATGGCAGCAAAGATAAAGAAAAAGACTTAGAAAAAGAGAAAGATTTCAAAGAAGAGTTTACTGAAGCGTTACGAGATCTTAAAATTCAATGGATGACAAAGTAAGTTTTTAATGTATTTTAATCCTCAAAGAGTTTACTTTTATTTTCCCCTTTACAACAATATTATGTGTATATGCTATATTCAAAAAATGTTAGCAGTAGATAGTAGGATTACAGGTACTTTTAAATTTTCTTATATTTATTATAGAGTTCTCTTTTGTGATAAGAATCTTTTAAATTTTTATGTTAGTTTCTTATTCTGATTTACTCTTAGAAGAGAGTTTTATTGGAAGGTATAAAAAGAAAATAAAAGCATGGAACAGACAGATCTAACAGGGAAGTGGGGAGGGGACAGGAAGAGGTTAACCAAAGAATTTATATGTATATATGCACAACCCAAGGGTATAGACAATAGTGCAATGAAGGTCTGGGGTGCAGCGAGAGCCAGGTGGAGGGGTGAAGGGAGGGATGGGAGACATCTATAGTCCTCCCAGCAGTAAAAAAGAAAAATCACTTTGCCCATTCTCCAAAGATAATCAATGTGCTAGTGTTATTTACCTCTGTATTTACATGTAGCAGTGTAAATGATATTGATGTATCCCGGTTTTCTAATTACTGTATTATATGACTATTTCCTATGTCATTTAATAGTCCTTTAAAATGCCATTTTTATTTTTTAAAATTTTTTCTGGTTTAAGTAAAAATAAAAAGTTTATCCATTTCTCCCACTCCCACCCTCTGCCTCTGGCAAACACCAACTGTCCTCTATATTTATGTGCTTAATTTTGTTTTCTTTGGATAAATACAAAGAAGTGGAATTGCTGGATCATATGGTAGTTCTATTTTCAATTTTTGAGAAACCTCCATACTGTTTACTGTAGTGCACATGGATTCCCTTTTCTCCACATTCTTGCCAACAATGTTTTTTCTAGTCCTTTTGATAATAGCCATTCTGGCAGATATGAAGTGATATGTTATTGTGATTTTGACTGGGGCATTTCCCTGGTAATGAAGATGCTGAGCATCTTCTCATGTACCTATTGGCCAACTATATGTCTTCTTTGGAAAAATGTCTATTCAGATTTTTTACATTAAATTTTTTGGGATAACATTGGTTGATAGGATTATATAGGTTTCAAGTGTGTGCATTTCTATAATATATGATCTGCATATTATATTGTGTGCCCCACTCAAATTCATATCATTTTTCATCACCATATACTTGGCCCCTGTAGCTTTTACCATTCCTCCACCCAATTCCCTCTGATAACCATGATACTGTTGTTTCTGTCTATGAATTTCAGTTTTATATTCCACATATGAGTGAAATCATATGGTTCTTAGTTTTTTCTGACTGACTTATTTCGCTTAGTACAATATTCTCAAGGTCCATTCATGTTGTCACAAATGGCAGTATTTCAACTGTTCTAATAACTGAGTAGTATTGTATATATATACTACATCTTTATCCAACCCTCTTTTGAGGGCACTTTGTCTCCGTGTCTTATCCACTGTGAGTAATGCTACAACGAACATAGGCGTTCATATATCTTTGCAAATAAATGTTTTCAAAATTTTCCAGTAGATACCCAGAAGAGGCATTTCTGGGTCATATGATAATTCTATTAATTTTTTGAGGAAATCACTGTACTGTTTTCCTTAGTGGTTGCACCAGTTTACATTCCCACCACCAGTGAATGAGGGTTCCTTTTTCTCCATAGCCTCTCTAACACCTGTTGTTATTCTGTCTTGTAGATGATAGCTATTCTAAGATGAATGAGGCGGTATCTCATTGTAGTTTTGATTTGCTTTTCCCTAAAAGCTAATGAAGTTGAACATCTTTTCAAATGTTGGTTGGTCATTTGTATGTTTCCTCAGGAGAGGTGTCAGTACAGGGCCTCTGTCCATTTTATAATTGGATTGTTTGTTTGGTGTTGAGTTGTGTAAGTTTTTTATATATTTTGGATATTAAGCCCATGTTGGAGATGTCTTCCATTCAGTTGATTGCCTTTTTGCATTGTTGTCTTTTTTCTTTTTCTTCTTCTTCTTTTTTTTTTTTGCTGTGCAGAAACTTTTTAGTTTGATATAGCCCCATTTATTTATTTTTGCATTTCCTTGCCTTTGGGGTCAAATTCATAAAATGTTCTTTAAGACCAAGGTCCATAAGTAGTACTTATTTTTTCTTCTATATAATTTGCTAGAGGCCCAGTACATGAAATTCATGCACGGGTAGGGTCCCCAGGCCTGGCCAGTGATCAGGGCTGATCAGGTTTCCCACCTCCCCACCTCCTCCTTCCCTTGCTCCCTCAGTGCTCCGTTGCCACTGCTGGTCATCCACCATGTTCTGCACCACCCCCTGGTACACGTCATAGCAAGCGATCAAACGCCCGAGGGTATAATTTGCATATTAGCCTTTTATTATATAGGATTGTTTCAGATCTTATATTTAGATCTTTGATCAACTAATATATCTTATGTAATAAAAGCCTAATATGCTAAGTGTTTGGTCGTCTCTTCAACCCATCAAAGGGTAATATGCTAATGATATGCTAAGGCCACTCAACCTCTCTCTGACATGCACTGACCACCAGGGGGCAGATGCTCCGACCGTTAGGTTAGCTTGCTGCTGGGGTCCAGCCGATTGGGACTGAGCGAGATGGGCTGGACATGCTCTGGAACCCTCCCACGGTCACTCGTGCATTTCTTTAGTAGCTATTACATTTGAGCTTTTTAAATGTTATTCGTTGTATAGCTTCTGTCAGTTGAACCATGTTCTTTGCCTGTTTTTCTATTGGCACATCAGATTTTTCTTTTAACATAGATATATTAATGCTCTATTGTACTTGTCACAAAATTTTTCCCCAGCTTATCATTTGACTTTTAGCTTACATTTTACATAAGAATGTATTCTATGTAGTAAAATTGATTGTTTTTTCCATTTGTGATATGCAGTACATTGGGGCCTTGACTTACGAGTGTCCCGACTAACAAGTTTTTTTGAGACACCAGCTGTCTCTCAGCCGATTTTTTGCATTGAGTTGACAGAGTGATTTGAGTTAATGAGCTCCTTAATGAGCTCGGTCTCAGAACGAATTAAACTCGTAAGTCAAGGCCCCACTGTATTTCTTTCACTACTGATTTTCTCTTGGAGTCCTCATAGCTGATTATGTGTATATCCCTGCAGTCATGGGGTCTTACAGAGAACAGACATCAGATTATGAAAATGATTCCCATTATAATGTTAGTCCATATTCAAAAGTATCTTTCCATTTAAAACTAGGTTGTATCTATCAGAAATCAGAGTCTTTAGGTTAGTCTCTGGCTGATTGTAGGATGTTATAAACAGTTGAAAATGTGATGTAAATCACTCAAAAGTGAGATTGACTTCTGGCATGATAGTGATGCAGACATTTTATGCCAGGCTAGTTCTCCTCAGCTCTAGGTCACAGGAATTTTCTGGGAGGAACAGGATTTTGGAATTTCTCATATAGCCCGGCTGCCTATTGTTGAGGCTAATTTTCAGGCAAATGTGGTCAGAAGTACGGGCTCTTTTTTTCTGCTCAGCTGCTACTTTTCTGCCTTGGGTTTGAGGCTCCAGTCACCTCACCCCAGCTCAGGATGCAGTGGTTCCATTTCAAGCAAGTCAAACCGAGAAGACTACAGGCTACTGCTTCCCACTCCATGTAATCACGAAGAACTGGCCTAGTTTTATTCATTTTCCCCATCTGGGAACATGGAATGTCTCTCTATTCAATCAAGACTTTAGATTTTTCAGAAAGAGTTCCATTTTTCTTTTGATCCCAGACATTTCTAAATCTTTATTTTTTCTTGCTATTTGTGAATGTTTTCCCCCTCCCTTTAAAAAAAAAATAAAACATTGTCATTTGTCATTAATATTTTTTAAAAATATAGTTTTATTGATTTCAGAGAGAGCGAGACAGAAACATCAACAATGAGAGAGAATCATTGACCAGCTGCCTGCCACATGCCCCTAACTGGGGACCGAGCCCACAACCCAGGCATGTGCCCTGATGGGAATAGAACTGCAACCCCCTGGTTCACAGGTCGATGCTCAACCATTGAGCCACACTGGTCGGGCTTTTTCCTCTATTTGGGAAAGCTATTGATGCTTATTTTTATCTTCCATCCTATTGAACTCTTAATTGAAATGATTTTCATTTTTTTATTTCATTGATTTTTTAGGTAAGCATATTTATACCACCTGCAAATAATGATAATCGTTGTCATTAGGTATACTTATATTTCAAATTGAAGCCTTATATTATTGACTGGAACTTTAAAACAATGTTAAAAAATAGGAAATATGGAAATTTTCTTTCTAAAATAAATGAAATAATGATTTTTCTTTTGTATATAGGCTGGATTCTGGTGATATTTATAATGAATTGAAAGAAACATACCCTAATTATCTTCCTCTATATGTTGCACGACTTCATCAATTGGATGCTGAAAAGGTTGAGCCTGTTCATTTTTAATATGAGTATCTTATTTTGTTTGTAATATTAAATAAGGTTTGTGTTTTGAATTAAAAGACAAACTTATATTTGTCTTCTATTCTTGCTGAAAATGTGTTTCCTCAAGTTGACTGTTCCATTAAGCTGTTTCATTTAAGCTAAGTAAAGAACCTGACCATTACTATAAGTTTAGGATTGTTGCTCTTTGATCACTGGGAGCAGTAGTAGTAGTTAAGATACTCTAAGGATTGCTTTTCTGGTGTTAACCTACAGGGCAAGGAACAGAAGGCAGTGGTCCTAGCCTGTGCAAATCCTAATATCTTCAGCAAAAGAAGCACCCCTTACTTTGCATTAAGTTTGTTTACAGTTCTTGCTTTTAAGAAATAGCTATAATTTCATACTTTATTAACATGGCCAGCTCTCATTAGTAATCATGGTAGTAGGAATAAGCTAGCCATAATCATTTAAAAATTATCAAGGGTTTAGAGCAGTGGTTCCCAAACTTATTTGGCTTACTGCCCCCTTTCCAGAAAAAATATTACTCAGCACCCCCTGGAAATTAATTTTTTAAAAATTGTAATAGCAATTAAACAAAGATATATGTATTAATGTTTCTACCTTTTTTGTAAAATATAGTAAAGAAAGGTGTAAGTTAGAAACATTGAAGTTAGAAATTATGAAACTATTTATTGAACTCAGAATAGAAAGATAATACAAAAAAAAGTTAAAACAAATGTACCTGTGGCCATCACCGCCCCCCCTGGATCGCTGCAACGCCCACTTTGGGAATCACTGGTTTAGAGTGAACTAGAAAGTGTTGAAAGGAGACCTGAAAGACTTGAACAGGAGAAGCAGATTGCTAAGAACACCATGAATAATTGTAGACTTGTTTCATCAGCTAGTGCTTTTTTTACTTCTGTTTTTATGTGGCAGGTGGCATGGGACTGAGATAAATAGCCAATCTCTAAAATATTTTCTTAAGATACCCAGAAAAGGAGTTGCCTTTGTAGAAAACACTTTACATTTTTATGAAATTTATCTTTTGCTTACTCTCACCACTTAAGGCCAATGGGGAGTGTAAATTAGGTATTTTCTTGTCTAAGCTCAGCTTTTGAAGAGATGCTGACAGTTACAAAGATCTTGGTAGGAATGCAGAGCCCCCTGGGCTGCAAGTGGACTATATAGTCCCCTCACACTGGAGTTGAGACAACGGACATGAAAATGCTTCAATATACTCATTGATAACATGCTTTTTTTTTTCTTTCCTTTACCTTTTTTCCCTCTCCAGGAACGAATGAAAAGACTTAATGAAATTGTTGAAGCTGCAGATGCTGTTATTTCTCATATAGATCAAACGGCCCTAGCAATTTATATTGCTATGAAGACTGACCCCAGGCCTGATGCAGCTACTATAAAAAAGTACCTAACCAGTAAATAATCTTTCTTGCATCTCATTTCTTAGTTACCTTTTTAAAAATAGGGATTGATATTATTGAGAATATTTTTCCTTCTTGGTATTTGTTATATCCTTATAACTAATGAGTTGTCAAGATTTAGATACTCCCTCCTTAGATACTTTGTAATAATTTTCTTTAATCATTTTAAGATGAAGCAGAAGAAAAGCAGTTTGCTTTCTTTACCATTAGATGCAGTCCTGGTAGAGATTTGTTACATCAGAAGAAGATAAAGATACCTGCCCTGGAGCAAGGCAGTTTACCTTAGTGATTAAGAGTAGTGATTCCAGAAAAAGACTAAGTAGCTTAGAATGCTGGATCTGCCACTTCCTAATTGTAGGACCTTGAACAAATGCTTAATCTCTTTGTGCCTCAGTTTTTCCCTTTGCAAAATGGAGGAAATTAATAGTATCTTACTTATAGAATTGTTTTGAGTATAAAACGGTAAAAGAGTTCCTGGCACAGAGTAAGCATTGTATTTGTTTTCTGATGGCATTCTTTTTCAACCAAGTCCATCTGTTCTAACCCATTTAACCTGTGTAAAAATAGTGGCTCATTGGATGTTTATTAGAAATTTTATTTGATGTACAATACAAATGTATATACATAGCTACTTAATAACATCTCTGCATTGTAAATATTAAGCAAAAAAATACATGGGTTTGATTCAGATAAGGCTGTACTTTTAAAGAAATTTTACTTATCTGTGAAATGTATTTTGATTTGGTGTGCAGTGACATGGACAAACAAAAATCCACCCTCGTAGATGCCCTGTGTAGAAAAGGATGTGCCCTGGCTGACCATCTTCTTCAAGCACAGGATCAAGATGGAGCTGTTTCAAGTGATGCAGAAGGAAGAGAAGAAGAAGGAGAAAGTACTTTGGATTCTCTGACGGAAACTTTTTGGGAAACTACAAAATGGACTGATCTTTTTGACAATAAGGTAACCTTTCTGCTTCTTTTTTGTGCAGTTTTTGGTTACATCACAGATTTATCTTGTGCCCCATTGCCTAATGTTTACTATTTCCCAGTTACTGGCCAGAAGAAGAAGAGAATAAATGTAGTGAATGTAAGCTTGGCTCTGAAGAAGACGTGTTTAGCACTACCTATTTGTCATATCTGTTTTAAAACAATTTTTACCATTATTTTATCTGTCTGCAAAGTGGCTATTCAGTGATAATTTGAAAACAGTTTGAGAATGTATGTAGTATTCATTTGGTTAATCTAGCTAGTTATGTATGAAGCTAAAATTAAAAATACCTTCTAGAAAGTGTCTTCATGGTGTCCCAAAAATGTATACACACACTTTGTATAATTATAAAGGCAGTATTTAATTAAAATACATTTCATTTTCATAGTTGAGCTATCAGCTGTTACGTATACATTTTTTGGGACACCCTGTATTTATGTGCTAATTTGTTAGGGATTGGGGAGTGGGATGGTATCCTGGTTAATATAGATATTTTTCTCAAAACTCTTAAACTTCTAAATAATTATCATCTTGATTTATAGCTGATCAAATTTTTGACCAGTTTAGTAAAAATAACATTGAGAAATGTTTAGGTTTTGGTTATAAAAATGTGTTTAAGTCCTTTTAGCTCTCTACTATAACTCTTATAGTAGACATGTAACTACAATTTTTTTTGTCAACCTTTTTTTCCCCTGGAGATAAAAAAATAAAATGAAATCAGTGGAATTCTCCCTGCTTAGCACAAAAATTGTTTTGTTTTAGTAGACAGATATTTATTTTCAAAATGAACTATGGTAATTTATAGTTGGAAAGACCGTTGGAAGTAGGTGGAAACTTCTTCCTGTATGCTTCAGGTTTCCCCCACTGCACAGTAGTGCATATGTAGGAGGAACGCAGTTATATTCAGAAAACTGCACCAGAGGTTAAGAGTTTGGATTTGAGTCCGGCCAGTGTGGCTCAGTGGTTGAACGTCAACCTATGAACCAAGAGGTTGCGGTTCGATTCCTGGTCAGGGCACATGCCCAGGTTGCAGGCTCGATCCCCAGTCAGGGGCATGCAAAAGGCAGCCAATCAGTGATTCTCTCTCATCATTGATGTTTCTATCTCTCTATCTCTCTACCTTCCTCTCTTCTAAAATCAATAAAAATATATTTAAAAAAAGAAAAAAGAATTTGGATCTGAAATCAGACCCCTGGAGTTTGAATCCTGCTTCTTCTACTTTTATCTGTGTGATCTTATTCTGATGTCTCAGTTTCTTATCTTTTGAGTGAGGATAGTGAATGACACTACCTACCATAGGTTTTTATGAATGAGTATTAAGTACACAGGAGGACCTGTCACATATCTACTTTATGCCAAACACTGAAAAAAGATTGCTGCTGGAAAAAGACAAATAAGATATGGGTCCAACAGAAAGTTGATGAACATCATAATAAAATTGTTATGAATAATTATATTTCTTCTATAATACTACTGTATTAGGGGCCGTACATTATATTACCTGCCTATTTACATTCAGAGTTAAACAATTATTTTACATTTTACTTGGCTCTAGAATACAAATAAATGTGACAGGATTTCTTTATTTGAGAATGTTCTTACATTCTAAAAGTAGATAAATGGTTACAAGTATATTTGACAGATATGATAGTTAAAGGTACAAAACTTGTATAAAAGTATGTAATGGAAAGTTTATATAATTAATACATTTATTTTATCTTTTATAATTTTGATCATTTATATAACTATACTTTTGTACTTCTGTCATAATTTGCATTTTTGCAATCATTTAGGTTAGCCCTGCTTTCTTTTTCATGAAGAGGTATTTTGGTATGGATTTCAACAGCTAGTGAATTTATTATAAAAAATTTCTTCCTTAAGATAAATTACCTGTTCTGTGGGGATACCCTCCTTTTTTGAAGACATTGTTCTTTTATTTTTTTAATTATTTTTAAAAGTATATTTTTATTGATTTCAGAGAGGAAGGGAGAGGGAGAGATAGAAACAGCAATGATGAGAGAGAATCACTAATTGGCTGCCTCCTGCATGCCCCTACTGGGGATCGAGCCCACAACCCAGACATGTGTCTTGACGGATTTGAACCTGGACCCAGTTCACAGGCTGGCACTCTATCCACTGAGCCAAACCAGCCAGGGCGACATTGTTCTTTTAAAAAATTTTTTTTTTTTTGAAATTTACATGATACAGAACATGTTCATTTTAAAAGCTATACTTCTATAAAAGTCTTAATTTTTCATTAAAGCTATATGCCTTAAGATATTAAATATTTCATAGATAAGCTTTATCTTATTTTACATTTCAGGTTTTGACATTTGCATACAAGCATGCATTAGTAAATAAAATGTATGGGAGAGGCCTTAAATTTGCAACTAAACTTGTGGAAGAAAAACCAACAAAAGAAAACTGGAAAAATTGTATTCAAGTAAGTGATATTTCAGTTGTCACCATGAGGGTCACTTTAATACTGCATAGTGACAAGATACCTAAAAAGCCTCATGGTAGTGATATAACAGTACTGCTTTATCATGAATAATATTTAATCAATGTAATTTGAACAATAAAATAAATACATAAAGAGGCAGTCAAAAGCTATTTAAATTTTTTACTCCAGTCCAGAAAACTTGTATTTAGCTTCAGGTGTTTTTAATATACACACAATGCATTATGAATTTTGTACAGGTAGATGACAGAGTTTTCCTTCATGAAGGAAATAATTTCTTTAAATACATATTGGCTTAATTCTAAAATGGTTGAATTTTTAGAGTTTTATATTTGATTTTCTTCATTTGAGATGATAGGCCATTATGTTATTTTATTATTCTTATTTTTATTAATCCACACTCAATGATATTTTTCCTATTGATTTTTAGAGAGAGTAGAAGGGTGGGGGGAGCCAGAGAAAGAAAGGAAGGAACAGAGAAACATTGAGATGAGAGAGACACATTGATTGGTTGCCTCCTGCTCGTGCTCAAATGGGCTGGGGATTGAACCCATGACCCTTCGGTGGGCCAGTGCTCTAATCACTGAAAAACACAGGCCAGGGCTTACTACATTTTTGTATCCTCACCTGAGGATATGTTTTTACTGATTTGAGAGAGAGAGCAAGGGTAGGGGAGAGAAAAAAACAGCAATGTGAGAGAGCAATGTTGATCGGTGCCTCTTGTATATCCTTGACCACGGTCAAACCCACAATCTGGGTGTGTCCTGACTGGGATTCCAACCTATGACCTTTCAGTGTATGGGATAACACACCAACCAACAATCATACCAGCCAGGGCAGCCATGATGTTTTTTTTATCACATATTATACTATATTGAGTGAAATTCTGTGGTTGTCCTTTTTGCAGAAGTTAATTGTCAAGTATAAAAACTTACTGAATTCCACAGATATAATTTATTATTGACCTTGTCTTTGTGATGCATAATTGGTTTATGCCTAAAGGGAGGTTGGGGAATGTTGGTTATGCGGTCAAGGGTCTGCTCTTTATATTAAAGGTATTCTTTGGGTGTAAAACTAACCAGTAGGTTCCTATGGAAATTTTTTATTAAACTATAGGTTATCTTTACTCTTAGACCCTTATTTGCATACCGTTACCAGTTAAAATTGTATGACATTTTAAATTAGTTCCTTCAGATCTCTGAATAGGTTAAGAGAACTCTTTCTGGAATTAATTGTTAATAAGTCCGGTCTCATCATGTAGGCTGTACTCTGCAAACATGTACATTTGTGAAGCCAGTGACCCACCCAGACATTGATTTCAGGGGTGTTTTGTAACTTGTCTCCCCTCCACTCTGCTTCCCTATCTGTTTTTCAACTAGCAACCAGAAACATTGGCTTTGACACCTACTGGTGAATCTCCATTACATTTAGAATAAAATCCAAACTCCTCACTGTGGCCTATAAGGCCTCATGTAATCTGGCTCCTGCCTTCCTTTCTAGCCATATTTCAGATCACACTTCCCCTGTTCACTCAGCTTCTGCCACACTAGCCTCCTTTCTGCTTGGGTAAGATCCTTGGCCATACCCTGTCCACAAGGGGACCGAACTGTTCGAGCTGTACGGAGAGCTTTTCCTCAGATGAACACAGTACATTCAGGCTTCAACTTAAATGTTACCTCCTAAGAGATCTCTTTCTTGACCATGTAACTTCCCAGTCACTCTGTATTATATAGTTTTATTTTTACTGTATACCTGATTTTATATATATATTCATGTATTAACTTGCTGTTTTATTATATGGTTTTCCTGAATTGAACATAAGTTTCTAAAAATGGGAAGTCAATTTGTTCAGTGTTATTTTCCCAATGCCTAATTTGACTTCTAGTGGGCACTCAGAAAAAAAAAATGAATGAAAGGAAACTAGATTGGTAGGAAGGGAGCAAATAAGTTAATTGGTAAGGAAAGCAAAGGTTAGTAGGAAAGAGAGAAAGAAGGGAGGTTGGTTCAGATGATAATAATTACTAGGGTAGGTTAGCTGGTAGGAAAATTTATAATTGGTAGTAAGGAACTTTGGTTCATAGAAAGGACTGTGGGTAGGTTGATGCTAGGTTGGATGGAAGGAGAGTTCTACATACTACCACATTATTACTAAATTTTTAATGCAGAATTTGCCTTAAACATTAAACTTGAAAATCTGTTCTTTAATAATAAATCACTGTGTTTTGTTATAGCTGATGAAGTTACTTGGATGGACCCATTGTGCATCTTTTACTGAAAACTGGCTCCCCATCATGTATCCTCCTGATTATTGTGTATTCTAAACTGAGAACCAAGACTTTAAATTTTAAAAAAGAAAATTTTATAGTGGATGGACATAAAAACAAATTTGTGGCATTTTTAGTCTAATGCATGTTTTCATCTGCTATCAAATATTGATTATTAAAATGATGTGTATTTATCAGAGACGTTGCTGGCGTGTGGCTTAATACATGTAAATCTAGACCTCTGACATCATGGTGTGTTCTTACTGCCTCACATTGCTGGCAATGGGCTGTGCCCTGACTGCCAGCACCAAGGACTTTCATTTGGGTTGCAGCTACTACATGCATGATAAGTTTTGAAGAGTAACTTTTAACTGCAAACCTGTAAAATTCTATTTTTTATTTTATAAAAGAACAGGGTTTTAACATGTTCTACTTTAATTTTTCTCAATTGTATGAAGGCCTTAAAAAAGCTACATTAAGCGTAGCTAAAATTATTTATTGGACTAAAAAGTAACAGAATTTCACTTTCAGATATTTTTTTGGTTTGTCTTTTTTTTTTAACCTTTACATTCAATTAAGGGGGAAATTTAAAGGGGCACAAATAAATAATGTGGCAATTGCTGGGGCAGAACTGCTTCTATAAATCTTCATCTTGGAGTAATTTCAGGCCAATCATTTTTAACATCCTTTTGATGTGCAGAGCATCTGAATGAATCAATAATACATGTATAAGTGCCAGATAGCTAAATCTTTATCAGGTATTGTAAAGACACAAATATGGTATGTTTATTAAAGTTGAAATAATGTAAACAGATGAATAAATGTGCAAAACCAAGATCACAGTACACCATATACACTGATACCTTAATTTTTTAATAAATAATAAACGTGAATATTGAAGCTTCTTAAAGTTGGTCTTAATTTTTCATAATTAAAATTTTGGATTAGAACAAAAGCAATATTAAATTCATAGACAAAAAACTTGAGGTAATTTATAATGTTTCTGATAGACTTGCAATTATTTGAATGTTTCCAATCTTACTGTGATTAGATTTTATGTATATTTAACTTATTTTATCTATTATACTTGGTTCTCTCATCCTTTCTCCATAAAATAAACAGACACACATAGACAATATTAAAAGCCTCTCCTGACTTATAGCAAGGGTGTGTGTGTGCGCACGCACGTATGTGTGTGATTTTTAAATCTTATTTCCTTAGAATTTACTACTACATATAGAAGTTCTATTACACTGCTGGGAGAACACCAGCCGGAAGCTGGCTGGCATCCTGGGCCTGGTTCCTGCCAACTCTGTTGTTAACTATACCAGGATGCCCGCATAATTTAAAAAAAAAAAGTTCTACCAGTAATCTTGTCTAATTGTTCATAACTGGGTTCTGGTAATTCCTTTATTTGATTAATACATTAGAGCTTTATGAAAAAATAGAAATATGCATGCCAACATTTTGCATACAATTTCTGAACCATCTAGAGTCTGAAGTCCATCAATGACCAGCTACATGCCTGTTCCCTCACAAACACTTTCGTCTACATACATACAGGTTTCCCCATAAACACAGGTTCGATCCAATAAAAAAATTGAGAAGCTCAGAAAAGATAGGTTACTTCCTAAGGTCATGCTGCTGATTATTAATTACAGAACCTGTTTTATAATCTAGGTTTTGCCATATTTGGTAAGTACTATCTGCTTGCACAGAGCTTCTTGGTCAGCCAGAGGTGAGAGCTTGGGTCCTTCTCAAGTCTGTCCTAAGGATGTGTACTGTGTGTGTGCCCTTCTAGGTGCTCAGGAGTTTGTCAGAGCTTTCAAAGCCCCTATGAACATATTTCCTTTTAAGCTTTTTGATTAGCCCAACAGTTATCCACCATTTCAGGCAGCCACAAAATTACACAATTGCCTATAATTATCTGGACAGCCACTGGAAAAGGCCACGGCCTAAGAGAGATCTGACTTTTCAGATAGGACTGCATTTCCAGTCGTGTAAACCAAATTCTTTCTAGAATCTGACTAAACCTGTCTAATAAAGACTGATTTGCACTTGGGGGTATTCTAGAAAACAACCAGATAAGTTAAATAATGACAATTCTCTGGAAATGGAAGTTTGGAGGAGCTCCCAACCCTATGTGGCTCCCTCCAATGACTGCCAGGCTGCTTTTCAGGACTACCATGGAGCTGGAGATGGAATGGGGATTGGGCGAATTAAAACATCACAAAATACACACACTGCTCTGAGATTCAGCCATTTTAATTGCACAAACATGCCTCAGATTGCTACATGCCTTTGGTTAATTTTAGAAATTCTGAAAAAGTTGCTCTTGATAATTTTTGCTTGTTTCCCCATAGCTTAATGGAGAGAATTTTCAGAGGTGCTTCTGCATTGATGAAATGGTCCACATTGCAGTGACATTTTTCTTTTTAGCACAAGAATTTAGTAACCAATTCTAATGGAAATTTAAAATTAGAAACTTCCTGATTATATATTTATTTTGAAGTACTACTTTCTGAGTGACATCAAGATACAATAAATTCTAGGATCCTTCAAATAAGACTTATTTTTGCACAAAATCATCATCATTCCAGGGCTCCCAAATATTGACTTTATCCTTCAGGTTTTGATTTTTGTTTTTTTTTGTTTGTTTGTTTTTTTAACGTGGAAGAGTTTTGGATATGCGCTTTAAGAAAGGTATGGTTCTGCAGGCGCAATTATTGGCTGGGCCCTCCCGACAGGCTGGTCACTGCAGCCTGAACATCTATGATGCAAAACAGTCTTGACTACTGCACAGCAGAGAGTTGGCTGTACCCTTCTAGGGCAATGTATTGTTTTAGTATCATATTGCTCCTGCTTTTGGGGGAGGATTTCAAAGAAGCATGTGTTTAAGCTCTGTCCTCTCAAGGTTCTGATGTGAAAAACCACAATTCCAATATCAAGGCCAGATGTCACTGTTTTCACTAGGTGACATCTAGTGACTTTTAAGATAGGACTGCATTTCTAGAATCTGATATGCCAGGTCATATCCAGAATGTGAATAGAATGCATATCAACTGAAAATATATCATTTTCATTTTATGTAGGATTTTAAAAGTTATTAACATGTCTCAATGATTCTGTGTACCAAGGTACTTCAAAACTCATTGGTTTTAACAATAATCATTACTTTTCCTCATGAGTCTAACTTGGCCAGAGTTTAAACTGGACTTAGCTTACATGGTTCCAAGCCTGTCATTAAAATGTATAATTTACAGGAAGAAGAAAAGATAGAGGGACTATTAAAAGATACCTTGGTAATGCAGTAGGCATAATGCAGCAAGTAAAAATGCTATAGAACAGACTACCCAACTGCAACAAAGAAAGGCAAGATGGAGAATCTGGAGATTTGATTTGGGGTGATGAATATACAGATTATGTATTACAGAAGTGTACACTTTATAATTTTATTAGCCAATGTAACCCAATTTAATTTTTAAGAATCTAAAAAAAGGGACATGCCAATCAAGCAATTAATCAAAGATGTGGACCTTATTTGGGTCCTTAAACAAACCTAAAATGTCATAACATGAGAAAATTGGAAATGGAAACTGATTAAATTTTTAATATATTAATAGTATTAATACAAAAATTATATATAAAATGTTTTTTAAATGTGATATGGTTATGTGTCATATATATGAACAGAATATACAGAATAATGGATGTCTTCAAATTTATATAGGAGCAAAGAAGTGGACGGAGATTTAGATGAAATAAGATTTGCCATGAGTTGAATAAAAATTTATGGGGGTGAGTTTTCATAATACTTTTGTCTATTTAAACAGCATTATTGAGTTATAGTTGCCATATAATAAACTACATACTTAAAGTATACAACTTATCTGTTTTATACACTGAGTGGCCAGATTATTATGACCACCTGATGTTTGTAGGCAAATTAGCCATACACTGCATCATATGGGATATGGAAGCCAAAGGCCTGTTCGAACACCTTGCTGTCTGCAGTTACCAAGATAAAACGTCTCCAATTCATACAGGAACACAAGGATTGGACAGTCGAGTCCTGGAAAAAAGTCATGTGG